GTTCACTCCCACACACGCGCACCCCCTTCGGGAGCGAACACAACCAACACTTTTTTATTTTATTACTTGACATTCTATATGATACCAACTGGGATGGGTCATTAGAGGACGCCGCAAGGCATGTGGAGGAAGAGGACACGACACTTGGAACACTTTTGATACGAATCATGAAAAAACTCGGGCGGGTTGAATCCCGCCCGCACGCACACACACACCCCCCCGGATTGGGATTTTTACGTTCTTATACTTAGAACTACTACTATACACTACCAGGCAGGCATTGGGATAATTCTTCTTATTTTTTATTTTCTTATAGGCGCAATTCGGTGTTACTGGGAAGGGGGACGGAAATGGATGGACCAGCTGTCCCGGGTGCATGGGCTCCGGGACCGGATTTGATATCACGGCTTGGCGCATTTTTGGGAAGGAGGGCGGGAACGAGGACGAAAGCTCTGGGAGCAACATGCAGTGCGCAGCTCCAGGATAGAGCAAAACCTACGGGAAGGCGGGCTTGGGATTGGATGGGGGGAGGGGGGAAAGCATCGGCTAAAGGCGCCCTTCATTAGAATTGTGCGTCTTTTCCCAGGTTCCTTTTTTTATTATTATTATTCATAGGTTAGTTTATGAAGATGTCACACATCATTTCTCAGAATAGCCAGGGCAAAAAGAGAGAAAGATAATAAAAAAAATGTTAAATACGAAGAAATCTTACATTGTGCAGCGTGACAATGCAGGCCACAACTTAACCGGTCAGCCAACCCAAAGGGCCTTTTTTATCCCGCCCTGACGATTATGTGTGGGTGGGAGGCACGGATGGGCACTACTACGTAGGAGATTCAGCTGCGGCCAGGCGCATCTAAGAGATGCAAGAAGACCGCTGGGAGGGGGCCAGCTCCGTTCGGGGTGGGTGTGCTGAGTTCGTAGGAGGTGTTGCATGCGTGGGAGAGCGTGTACGCAATGCAGCCACCACTGGACAGTCAGGTTGGAGTTCCGTGAATACGACAGTGTACTATGTAAGCAAGGACATCAATCATATGCTTTTTTGGGGCGATCGTGGGTGGGTGGGCTGGTTTGAGGTGGTAATGCAACACACCACGCAGGCCTATACATACATACGTGCATACAGGTACGGGAAGGGGGAGAGGCCAGCCCCCATCATGGGCCGATGTCGTGCGACGCTGCACTCATTCTGGATGGATGGAGGGATGCCGGGCTCAGACAGAGGATCAGGGGCTCGTGTATGGAGGAGTGCGGATGGGATTTCCCGCTGCTTTGCCCCCAGGGCAAAGTGCATCTCGGGAGGAGCCAAGACGACAGTGTGTGTAATATTGCATGTGGGAGAGATGGGAATGCCGCAAGGTAGCATCGCGTTTCCCATCCACTCGTCCTCTATCCGCAACCTGGAACCCCCAAGGGCTGGTCCTGGGGAATGGAACCGCAGCGCAGGTTGGGGATGCGTCTCTTACCTACATGCATATATACACGTACGGCCATGAGGTTGGCGGACGGCCAGACAGGCAGCCAGGTAGGATGGCATTCTGCGGAACGGTAGAGGGTGATGCTGCATATGTATGTCCATACATGTTGCCTACTACTACATCGGCATGCAATACTGCAGGCGGTGCTTAGGCGAGGTCGCGACCGTCTACAGAGGGCATGGGAGGCTTGTTCTATTCTTGTCGTTAATTTACTCATCCTCGGTTTCCGACATTTGACATTGAGGTTATTTGTGACGATGATGCATCCCATCTGTCGATACATATTGGTTCCATGATACGCTTTGTGTTGTATCAAGATGGTTGAGGAACACGTGTAACGCCGTGAGGCCTGGTCTCCCGACTTCGTTGTACAAGTCTGCTGCACCCGATGAAGGTTTCCTCCCCTTCTCTCCTCGCTCGCTTTCGTCTCAACTTTCTGTCTCCGGCATAATCAGCGCATGCAATGCCGCCATGGGAGCACCATGGTGTTGCGGCTGCATGCTTGGTGTCGACATCACCAGCAGTTGAGGTCCACGTAGCTCGTGGTTCCTTTTTTTTGGGGGGTATTTGCCTCACTGTGCGATGGGCCAGCAAGCCCTACCTACAGATTCTGGCACAGGGGATGCTTCACAATGGGCATCGGTCCGTATTGGCGGATGCGGGGGAGCGGGGAACCGACTGCAAAGGATAGAAGATTGTAAAAAAAATGATGATAATTATGGACTTGCTCTGACTCAACAACTTGGATCAAGGGGATTAATGGCCCCGTACAGTGAGGCGGACGTTCAGGAAGCCCTGTTTCGTTGTGTCCACGACAGCGGCAAGGGTAAGGCATCATGACCCATATGCGGTCTGCTGAAAAGAAAGGAAAGAAAGGTCTAGAGCTGGCGAAACTTAGACCGTCTCTTTCTCACACCTTCGCGATGTGGACGGTATGGGTAGTACGGTGGGTTTGTTCCGTCCTGCGGCCCCCCCTGTGCCTCTGTGGTGTTTCGCTTAGTTGTGCTTTCCCTTGTGTTGGATATGTGGGCGTATACATATCGCTCGCTCACTATCCGCCCAATAATCGGTGAGGCAAAAAAAGGTCAGGGAGAAGATAGAACGAGAGGACGAGAGCGTGAGGCAAGCCCCAGTGGGACCGGCTATCCATGGAGTCTGGCCTGAGGGTGTACGAGGACCCGGAGCACAGTAAAGAAATAATTCACATACGTCTGGGAGCAATTAGAGGGTGTATGAATAAAGGAGCGGAGAGAAGTCAATCAATCAAGCCAAGCCAAGGTCAGGCTGGTAGGTGGTTCCTCTTCTATTTCCCCTTGCTTGGTTGCAAGCAGTTTGTGGTCAGCAGACCGGATCTAGCCAGCCACGGTTTGTCTTGAGTGAGTAGGTGAAGGGCGGAGGGATGTCGGCACTGGGGTCAGATAGGTAGGTAACATTCTCAGCGATGGGCTGGATCTTTGATAGCGCCGAGTTTTTGCCTGAGCAGACCTCTGGAGGCACATGATCTGGAGCGGCCGATGAGGTTCTACTTTTGGAAGGCCGAGCCCTCCGCGGTCGGTACTTGGGTTTCGAGGACCCTGGCCTGCCTAGGTACCACCTAGGTAGGTATGTAGTCCTGTTGAAGTCTCTGATGAAGGGAGCTGAACTCCATGGATAGGTGTTGGAGAAGCCAGAATAACTTGGCCATGACGCAACTGTCGTAAGCTTGGACCTGGACGCCGCTTGGCTTGCTTTGCTCGGGAGCTAGGCACGGAAAGCTCGAGGCCATCATTCGATTTCTGGTGCGCTAGCCGGTAGGCGCTGTGTAAGCCTCAGCCCAGGATCCTTCGCTACCCAAGGTACCTACCTAACGATGGTGGCACCAAAGCCAAGCTTAAGATGAAGGCGCCAAAAAAACTTTAAAAAAAAACTTGCGATGAGGCACAGAAAGTCAGCTCAGGCTATGCGTGTTGATCTTCCTACACGTTGGCGTAGAGGCTGGTAATTAGGCGCCTTCCTTGAAATGGGGCTTCTGCTGAGGCAAGCGCCTACCACGTTCTAACTTTGGGGCTGTCAGCTCGCATCGCACTGTGCGAGTCACTGAAGCTTAAGCTGGGTAGGTACTTGACCCTCACTATCTCTCAGCGCGGTAGCTCCTGCCCAAGTTTCGTCCGAGGTGGTAGGTGGGTTCCTGCCCTGCCTCTTATCCCTTTCATAGGGACGTTCTTTCCTTCTTTTCCAACCATTTCTGCATCAACCGGGTTGGATTCCATCTGCGGCATCTCTTTACCCGCGAACTGAAAGCAAGATCAAATTTTACAAGTCATGGAGACCTGCATGTTCTGCTTGGCCAGCGGCTCCAGGCAGTGACTGGGACATGGGACTTGTGCATAGCCTGTTTGGGGATTGCCAAATCAGTTGCCCTCACCCAATCAGCGCGTGCCCGCTTGCTCGGCGCGTCTGCTCTGAGACGAACCAACCGCAATTAGAACCCAATCGGAGCCCCAGAGACCACCAGGCCGCCGCTTGTCCTATCGTTTGCCACAGCTCGGCGTCTAACGCAACTTCAGATGCCGGTGAATTTGGCCATGGCTGTCTTCTTGTGGTCCTTGGACTGGCCATGCTGAGACGCTTTGGCCCAGATGCCAGTCCCGTGGGGACTGAATGGTCGGCCGCAGAATGCCGTGACGATGGGCCGGCGCCAGTCGTCGGTTCAGCCTGTGCCTGCGTCAGGGCCGTATTGTACCTATTCAAGCGCTTCGCCTTCTCCTTTGTCCTCGCTTTCCCATTTCCTCTCCTCTCTCTTCATTTCACTTCACTTCTTCCTTCAGTGCTAGACACCGTTTCAGACCCAGGCATTCCGGAATGTCTGCGTCTTTGTCTTAATCTTTTCCACACTTCTCTTTCTCATATTGCGACGCTTCTAAAACAAAACGGTTAGTATTCCCAACAAGAACAAGCCGGGCTTTTCTTGGAACACCCTCTCTTTCTTGAGCCCAGTGGTACCTGCAACTTCCTTTTATCAATCGCCTGGAGCGATACCCAACTTGTCATTTCCTTTCATTACCATCCTTTTACGCTCGTTCATCTTCTCACGGACCGAATAAGCCATCAGATCTATCTACAACATACATCCGCATCCCGCTGCCAAAGTTACATTTACCGAATCTCAAACTCCGGGAGCAATAGCGAGCGCATCATATTGGACGGCATGGTCAAACTGCCAATGCTGTCGGCACTGCCGTTGCGTGTGCTCATTCTCTCGGCACTGAGCGCTTCCCTCGTTTCAGCTATCCCAGCCAACTTACTTTTCGCTCGCCAGAGCACCTGTCCCACAAATGCATTCCGATGCGAAAACAGCTCCTTCTGCTGTTCAAATGGGAACACCTGCATCTCGCTTGCTGGAAATACTACAGTCCTCTGCTGCCCGAAAGATTCCACCTGTAGCAGAATCGAAACCATCACCTGCAACGTCGATTCGCTGAATCCCGAGGACCACCCGGACGCCCCGGTGAAAACCACTGTATTTGATGTAGCCTTGGCAAAATGTGGCGATGGGTGCTGCCCCTTTGGTTATTCCTGCTCAGGAGAGGGAAACCAATGTGTGAAGGACCAAGATCAGTCACAGCCTCCCAAAGGGCATTCGACTACGACATCTGCCTCAACCTCCACCAAGACATCAACAACGAGGTCAACCGGCCTGCCGACAACTCAGCCTTCCACAACGGGTGGCTCAGCAACAACCACCCAAGTGCCTACAGCGTCTACCACAAATGACGAGGCTACGGGTGGAAAGGCCGACACTTATGGGCCAGACGTAGGGACAATAGTCGGGGGAGTTGTTGCTGGGCTTACCGTTCTTTGTCTTGCTGGCTTCATCATTTTCTGTTGTCTCCGCCGAAGGGCACATCAAGGTTCGGCCAGCAGCGAGAAGCCAGGATCTACAACCATCTCCGAACCTATTCCCCAACCAAACTCTTATCGTACCGATTTTATCCGTGATGCACCATCGACACCACCACGCACAGATCACCCATCTATTCCGTGTATTTCTGAAGATCGAATCACTCGCAGATCCATCCGAAATCCTTTCAACTCCCCCAGCCCTTCGGACGCGGGTACGAACTCCAGGATCCCCTCTTTCTGCGAGGATAGCCCTCCTCGGCAGGGGCAGGTGGGTGCACGTCTTGCCCCCATTCGTACAATGAAGGCATCCAGCCAGTACCTCAAGCCTCACCGAACCTCCATTCACCGGCAGCCAAGTGGTGAATGTATCAATGTGTTCGCGGATTCAAACGCAGTTGATGATCAGTTTAATCGACAGACCACATTCACAGAACTCATGGACAGGGCGGATCTCAAAGGCGTTGGCCGCGACAAACCCTATGTCCCCGGCACAACGCCGAGGATATAGAGCGAGCTACCGATGCCTTGGATCTCCGTTTATTGTCGAGTGATCCTCAGCGCTGGTCGTGGAGGCGCGTCTTACAGTCCACTGACTTTCTGTTTTGTTTAGAATCTCATTTGTTAATACCAAAGTGATTATATATATACCCATTCCTCTTATGTTAATACATCATACCCGGGGGCATCATCGGAATGGAGGTCAGCATGCCGTTATTTTACTATTATTAGATTTTCCCTTTGTTCTTCTCGTTTAGTTAATGGAACCAAATATGAATTCATGTCCACTATCTTTCAATATCTTCTCATTTCAAATTCATCATGTGGGCCAGTCCCTCCCGTGAAATAACTATACTATGCGTCCCTATGTGTGAACGAATGTGAACTGGTCCCGTTAGAGCCCGAGGTATCAAATGTTGATCATCTGTCGATGCCTGCCAATAGATTGAGGGAAAAAGGTAGAACGAATGGAGAAAGGCAGCCCGAGGTATAGCAAATGTCTTCCCAGGAGCGGGAAAAAGAGGAAATAACGAATAAAAATAGAAGAAGAAAATGTTTCTTAGGTATCCAAAATTACCGCCCGTCGTAATGCTCGTGGGCTAGATGAAGATGGTGAATTCCCGCGGAGTAAAGAGGAAAAAAAAGGATCAGGCGGGAACAGAAAAAAACGGTAAAAAAAGAAGGTACAAGACCACCACCCAATTTGCTAAAACTCCTTCGTAAAACGAGCGCTGAACATGATTCTTTTGAAAGACCCAGTCTTGAAACCATAACCAAGGAAAACACAAAACACAAAACAAAATCACACAACGTCAAGGATAACAGAGGATATCTGACAAGCCCGTATTAGGTAAACACCTCCCACCCTTGACCTCTCCTACATCACTGTACATCTCCTGTCCTTGAATCCAGAAGCGGTGGTTATATCAGTCCACCCAGCATTGCTGACAGCATCGTGATCCTTCTTTTTCTTTTTCTTGCTGGGCTTTGTCGGAGCCTTGGGCTTCCACCCCTTTAGTCTGGCATCCCTAATGTTCTTCGCTGCGCTGCGTTCTGCGCGGCTCGACTGTCGGCTGACACCTACCGGAACTTGGCCGGGGGATATTGAACGTGATCGCCCCCACCCAGTCCAAGGTCGTAGAGTAGACTGCTGTCGCTGAGCTGGTGGTGGTGGTGCATGGTAAGAAGCCCGAGGAGCAACGCTAGACTCCAGCCGTTGTACAGGGGCCTGGGAGTTCGAACCACCCTGACGCGGTCGTGGTCGAACGGGAACGGGAGCTGCGATTGTCGTTTCCGCCCATCTGCTAGGCGCCCCTGATTCGGGGAGATCAAACCCTCCCGAGACACCCTTGGGAGTGCTGACGATAAGAGGCTGATCCATTGCGTTGTTCCAGGACGTCGAGGGTCTCTGTTGATCCAGGTATGGGGAGAAGACGGGCCGGTTGGGGTTATAAAGATCATGGAAACCAACGCTGACTGGACGCTGGTAATGACCATGTCCCGTGTTCGGATCGACATAGCCTGGCTGGTTCGTAGTCAAAGTCGGTGGCGAGTTGGGCAAGAAGCCGGCATTTGCCATTCTTGGGACAGGTGCTACCAGAGGAGCAGTAGCGGCATTGTGAACAAGATCCTGGCTCGGCTCGATACCGAGGCCATTTAACCATGCCTGGGAAGTTGGCAGTGGCATTCCGTGTCCCATATCCGCTCTTTCCTGGTCCCCTGCAGGAGCGATAATGATGGGGATGTTTGAGATCTGGACAGGTGATGATGGCGAGTCTGCTGGGTGAGAGCTCATGGTGCTTACCGAAGCTTGTCTCTCTAGATTGGCCCCGATGGTGCTGGAGTAGTGAGCCGGAATGCCAGGTGAGGCTGGTGGTGTGGCATCGTAAATGTCATCTGGATCTGGTGCTGGAGTGGATCTTGGACGGGGCGGATGATCAATTCGAGGCCGACTAAGAGTAGTTGAGTCACTGGCTGTTCTATGGTGTGACGGTCGCCGCTGGATATTGGCATAGGATTCGACTGTGTTGGATGGTACTGAGGGTGGCATAGGTGGGACAGCAGGCCCTCGCAAAAAGGCTGGAAGGTCGCCAGGATCCTCCTTTTGATATGGTGGTGGTGGAGGTACCCAATTATCGGCGTCACTTTCATGGGGATGCTCTCGGCGCCCGTCAGCACGGCGATATGAGATCGGACGCCCATCTGCAGTACGAGGGTTAAGAGTTCTGTTGACTGCTGCTGCGGTGGCAGCACGCCGGAGAGTGGTGGCAGTTCGCGGGCTTGAGTGTGCGTAGGGAGCATCCAACGCTTCTTGTTCCTCGATGGTGGCCACGTCAGGGTCCTCAGGGGCATCATTGCGAGGAGAAGACTGGATAGCAGGATTGTGGCCGATTCTCCTGGGCATCAAGGGGTCATCGTCATCCGTAGGCTCGGTCTGAGGCAATGGCGGCGGCGCCTCGGAGCTCCGATACGAAGTTGTTGCGGCGCGAAGAAGAGCTGAACGGCTCCCGCGCTTTTGAACGAGGGTCCTCCTTCGCACAATTGCAACTTCGGTCTCTATATCACGATGCTCCTCTTCCAGAACCTCTGCTTTGTCGGTTCCCACTTCCAGAATGATTTCCTCTTCGGTTCCATCTTGAAGGCCGTAGTCGAAGTCAATCAATTTGATCCTGCCGCCGTCGACAAAATCAAGATCCTCTTCCTCAGTGACCAGTCGGGGACCTAGAACTCCGGTAGCTGTAACAATCAGACGTTCCTTCAGAGAGTGACCGCCGTATTCTGCAATCCACTTCACAGAGCTCACACCGAGGACATTGTCAATTTTGACGCCTGATCTGAAAGTATTCCTCTGCCGGTCGCGCATGAGTTTCCACTGGGGAGCTGAGTCACCAACGGCAGCATCCTGTTCTCTTGATGTAGAAGCGTGTGAAATGTTACCGCGCGTGAGGTCCAACGTAGAAACCTCTTCCTCTGTCAATGCATCTAATCGCTCTGGTACTCCATATACCCAAATCTCCCCATGGTGAAAGCTGGCTGAAGCAATCTCGCCGTAATATGTAGCTCCCGATAAGGTGCTCGGTAGTAGCTTTCCTTGAGTTCCTTCCTTGGGCTCAGGACCAACGAAGTAAGTTGTGCCGTTGCGCAAGTCATTGATGCGAACAGCTCGGAAAGTTTCAAAGCTCCTGTCATATGCGAAGGTCCATCTGGCCTCATCTTCGCCGCCGTCCTGGAGGAGAACCGAATGGGTGCAGTCGCGGCTCGAGTTTGGAAATAAAATCGATGTCGTCCACAAGGCGCTGGTATCGTTTTCAGGCAAGAGGCTGCCTGGATCATAATAGGGGGCCGTGAGGATGACGGTGCTGGGAGTTGCCGAGTTGACGGTCGTGCCGAGAATCTGGGTGCCGTCGTAGGAAAACGCAAGTGCATCTACCGCATCGCATTTGACAGACCGCCTGTCAGAGGGACCAGCGTTGGCACTCAGGGATGTCACCTCGATTCCGCCCTCGTAAGCAGCGGCCAACACAGAGCCGCAGGGGGACAAGGCTATCGTCCGGGGTGTGTTGTCGAGAATTATCGATTGCTTGCGCCGTGGCGGAGTGAAGCTGAGGTCATACAGGTCAACCTGCATTTCCATCGAAAGAATGGCGAGGAGGCTTCCGTCATCTAGAATGCATGTCGCGACGGGGCGGCGCAACGTCTTGAACTCGCGTTTGATCTCAATCTTGGGCGCTCGCACATCGATGACGTAGATCCGTGACGAGTTGTATGCGAGAACAAGTTGCGACTTTGGCGAAGTGCTGAACTGCATGCCCTCCCCACCGGGACATGATGCGGAGCTGATGGAATTGGAAATGAGCTTGATGGTGGTTTGGTGGGGTCTAAGGTATGCATCAAAAAGGTTGCGCTTGATCTGGCGTGCAAAGAGTCGTCGCAGGCGCGGGAGGTCGCTGTCGTTTCCAGAGGGTAGCTTGGTTCGGCTGATGGCAAAGGATGGACATTGTCGCAAGTGATGTATGTACAGGTGAGGCCGCTGGGAGACGGCTCGCCATTTTCGGTTGAGAAGAATCAAGGAGGCGAAACCATTAGAGTCAGTGTCGAGCAGGATCCTGCAAGTTGACGGGAGAGTGTCAGTTTCCATCAAGTGAGGGAATAGGGGAGCGTAGTTGTACTCACTGTTCAATGATCTCATCGGGAAGCTCGTCGAAAGGGGCAGCCTGGATTGGCGGCTTTTCCATATCTGACGACATGGCGTCCGTCGTGTATGAGCTTGAGGAGAGAACAAAGAGGGGCGAGAAATATCTCAGCGAAACAGAAGTTGATAGCCTATGTATTCATGGTCATATAGCCGTTGGTTGTTGGTGGGCAAGGTGGTATTTTCTCGGGATGGGGAAGCTGGCGGTTGGGCAAGTCAGCGAGCGAATGGGAGCCAGGCGAGATGAATGTGTTGGTCGGCGGGCGTCTAGAGGTGGCAAGACGAAGTGGACGGATGCTTTGGCTCGATCAGCATGGCATGGAGATGATTGGCGTCGTCGTCGTCGGCGGAATCGTTGCTGCGCTCGATCCGGATGCAGTTGGGTCGTCGAACACGAACAAAAACCTGCACGGCAAGAAACTGGCTGAAGACGAGAGGGAGGGACGGATTCAGCCAGCACTATTGGCAGGCATTTCCAAATCCGACTTGGGTTAGAGCAGCCACCCTGGGCGAAATGATTATGGATGGCCCCCAGTGGTTGACTGTTGGGGAATTGTTCGATCGTGTCTCTGGTTGGTGGAACGCGTGTTGCTGCAGGCAGGGTGGAGCCATCGGGACATGGATACATGCAGGATAGGCAGGTACTTTGCTTACTGTGGTGAGTGCGTGCGGTAGGAAGTAGATCCCAATCTCAGACCCAGGTATCTCCATCTTGTGCACGTTAATTGATCCTATAAATGGCTGGCACTGTGGTTGGCTGCAGGCGGGGTCGGGTGGAGCCAATGGGTCTTTGGTCTGCCGAGGTCAGGCAAGGGAGTAATTAATACCGTATCTTCAATTCTGCTGGGAGGCTGAGGCCGGCTTGGAGCTGCTAGCGGCTCTGTTCCGTGAGGGTCTTCAGCTGCAATCCCATCGCATCGACTCACTGGATGGTTGGGGGCTGTCCACCGTGCTTGTTGTAACGGTGGGATTCGAGGGCGACATCTCACCTCGCAGCCGGCATTGCCACAGCTCCCATGCCAAAAGTCCTCTGATATTAGTATTCACTGCCCACTCAGGTAAGCGCTGGCGGCCACGACCCCACGGCACATAATCCCGTTTTCAGATTGCGGTCCTACCGACGCAAGCTGGTTACGTGTTGAGCTCGGAGCACCAGCTTGTTGCGTCAGACTTGGGACTAGCCCCTGCTTTGCTCCTGGCCAGACTTGGTCCTGCCCCGATTGGGGGAAGGGCCAGAGCCTATCCGGACGTGCCAGCCAACATCCATCCTCAGTCACTGCCTATATCACTTGCATTTATCTTTAGACAGTGCAATCGGATCGGTATGGGCGTGCTCCCTGTCGACCACGCAGACGAATCCTTTTGTCTCATCAGGTCGACCCCGGCTGCTAAACCAGAAGTGGATTTCTTGATCCGGATGCCACGGCTGGATTGAGTGTTCCATCTCACAAGCCTTCTATGATTCAGTTCATCAGAAACAGTTCACCCGTCCGACCTAATTATCCCATCCCGCCCGGCTGATAATTACATGCATACTGCTACCTGGGTAGTCTATCCACGCCCGATCGTGTTTGGTTCATCCCTCCACCACCGCGATCATGACCCACGATTCTTCACACTGCCCTTACCCACTTCCCTCCGGACCCTGCACGCATTGACAATTTGACACAGCTATTTTCCCCATATGGAAGTTCATCGACAAGGAACAATGCTTGATTGCAGGATTCGACACGAATCAGATCTAAAAGTAAAAGAAGCAGAGGAGAAAAAAAAGGGGGCCTCCGTGGTAGATGGCCGTGATGCGAGATCCAACGTAGATAGCTCCTCCATAGCAGACACAGGTGTATACATTACATTTTCCCCTACGAGGCAGACAATATAATACCCCCTTGCCTCACTCCTCTGACCGACTCCTCCCTCCCATGGGATGCCGTCACCATGTGTTACCTCCAAAACCGGACCAGCCCCCGTCGTCCGTGATGAAGGTGAAGCCGCCCCAAAGCCAGACATTGCTGATCCAGAGGACCAGCCCGCGGCCGTGACGCAGCCTAAATGGACTCGCTACCTCCCCTCCGTCTTCTTCCTCGCCGTCTTCCTCGCCCTGCTGTTCCTGCTCGTCTTCCTTCTCATTCCTTCCCCCATGGGCATCACAGGGAGCCAGCCGGCGCGCGAGGAGCCAGAGGACTCGGCCGCCAACAACCCTGTCGTCGATCTTGGCTACTCCAGATATGCCGGCACATATCTCAATAACGGCGTGAGCCAATATCTTGGCATCCGGTACGCCCGCCCACCCACTGGCGATCTCAGATGGCGGGCCCCCGTCGAGCCCGAGCAGACAGAAGGCATCCAGAAAGCAAAAGAGGTGGGTTGAGAAAACAAACCCCCAAACATGGAGCCCGAACACACCGCAGCCTCGGGCGGTAAACACGAAGTAAAATTAGCTTGGATCGAAAAACTGACACAATAAATTTGAAACAGTTCGGCCCAGTTTGTCTCGGGCTACGTGACACAGCCGGCAACGAGGTTGATGAGGATTGCCTGACCGCATACATCTGGGGCCCAGCCAATGTCACGGCAGAGACAAGGCTGCCCGTCATGGTTTTTATACAAGGTGGCGGTGAGGGATACATCCAATATCCCATCCCAAGATGTGCTCGTGGGCATTGACAATGGGAGTCTGAGCTATACTGACCTTGTTTCGTCATATTAGGTTATACACACAACGCCAACGCCAACTGGAACGGCTCGCAGCTGGTTGAGGCTTCAGGTCTCAACATTGTCTATGTATCTTTCAACTACCGGGTCGGACTTTGGGGGTTCCTCGCCGGAGAAGAAGTGCGCAAGGACGGCGTCCTCAACGCCGGTCTTCTCGATCAGCGCTTCCTTCTTCAATGGGTGCAAAAGCATATCGCTTCTGTATGTCTACTCCTTTGCTCAGCCGGTCCATATTCCATCCCTACTTCCCTAACAAGACATCATAGTTCGGAGGCGACCCTGATCATGTTGTCATCCAAGGCTTGTCAGCCGGCTCAGGCTCCGTTGCCCTCCACATGGCTGCTTACGGCGGCCGGGACGACAAGCTCTACGCAGGGTCCATCTTGCAGTCGACCTTTCTACCCGCTCATCCTCCGGTTAGCGAACTTGAGTGGCAGTTTAACCACACGGCGGAGCAGGCAGGCTGCCAAAATGCCGCTGACCGGATGAAGTGTCTGAGATCCATGAGCAGAGACGACCTCCAGAAGCTCAACGACGCCAGCCCGTTCCCCGGAAGGGCCTCGAACCCCTTTTACTACTGGACGCCATGTCTCGACGGCGAGCTGCTGCAGGACCATGTCACTGAGATGTTTGCCCAGGGGAAGTTCCACAAGGTCCCTGCATTGCTTGGCACAGTCACAAATGGTGAGATCATTGGCCCGCGCTTGCTTCCGCCCGCCACACTGACACTGAACACTGACATATGAATCTATATATATCTGTAGAGGGATCCACCTTTGTCCCTGACGTTTCTTCTGCCGACCAGCTGGTCAGCTCCCTCGTCGATAACTTCCCCAAGCTCAACTCCTCACACACAGACGAACTGATCACCCTGTACCCCAAGGAAGATCCCGTCCCCCAACATGATTCGTACTTCCCTTCGCTCTCCCGGGCGTACGGAGAAGGGACCTTCATATGCCCAACCCGTACTATTCTCAATGCTCTCTGTGAGTCTGGGGATACAGCAACTTGGTCTTACCGTTATAATGTCGAGGACAACGAAACGGTTGCAGAAGGCTTCGGTGTACCCCATGTGTCAGAGGCCCCGGCTGTTTGGGCACCGGAAATGCTCACTTCTCGGCCAAAGGAGAGTTACTTCACCTACAATGCCGGCTCTGTCTCGCTTGTGATGCATTATTGGTTGAGCTTCGTCCGATTCCTTGACCCCAACATCCAACGGATGGATGGAGCCCCGGTCTGGCATCCTTGGTCGGGCAACCAGAGTAGGCTCGTATTGCAGCTCCCAGAACCCGTGATGGAAAATGTCACTCAACTAGAGAGAGCCAGGTGTGACTTTTGGCAGAGTATCGGACCTGCCATTAATCAACGATAGAGTGTTTGAACTTGAATTAAATATAGAGGCGCTACTTAATCACCATTAATTTAACATCTGCATGATGGCATACGCCGTAGGCCGTTCGATTTAAAGTGCCATCCGTGAGAGTACTTCGGTTTTCTTCAAATAGACATTAGGACGTAGAGTAAATGAAGAATCACGGCTGTCCCATTAATAAAGATGGTGATTAAGCCGTTAATTAAAGCTACTCTCTGCCAGCCAAATTGTTTGCCAGCAGCTGTTCAATGGCTGGTGGCCCAGAATGACCCTTCAATAAGACAATATAAGGCCTTATATCCCATGCCATTTATGCATCCAACTTCTTCTTCTTCACACAAGAACGCACAACTCTTTTTGCACCTCTTGCCCATTTTCGGACGCGGATGCCCACTCTCCCTGACCGCTTCGAGACAATTTCGTTTGACGGATTTAGCATTTGATGGTCGATGGTCACCCCCCGAGCGCACCCGGACATTTCCTGTAATGAAAAAGGGAGAGGGGTTGGAGCTCTCTTGCACCTTTTCGACGGCGCGCTGCCGAGCCGTAGGTGGAAAAACGATATTTTCTGCCGAAGGCCGTGCTCACGAGGTTTGATCTCATGAGGAGAAATACCTCGAGTCCCTTCAGGCTGAATCTCATTAACAGAGGAGATGGGCGTTGGGGTTTTCAATTCGAGACTTTTGGCGATTTCGAGACAACTTATGCCCAGATCACCAGCGTCCCAGAAGGGCGAAGCCAACACTTTCTCATCATCAATTTGGTTTGGCAAAGCTGGTCTGGCTCCCCCCAGCTTATGCATTGCCGACTGGTCCATCATGTAATTCGGCGTGGTGAACATGTCTCTTCGTGAGGAATACTCAAGATCTGCAAGGGAATTGCACTGCTTCAATGCTGGGCTCCTGATAACCGTTCCCTGACAACCTGCAAGGCCTTTCCCCAACTGAGTTCGAGATATTTTAATTTTGAGCCTCTTCCTCCCTGGCGAAGCGCTGGCCGGGGCAGGCGACATAGCATCTGTTGAATTGGGCGTTGTGGTTTGACCCTGGCAATCAGCATCTTGAGTAAGAGATTTTCTAATCTTGAGCTTAAATTTTTGAGGACTTGCATGACGAGCAGGAGATATGTTTGACTCAACAAAGGAGTCGTTTGGCGGTGCGCCAACCATATGCTCTTGATTTTCAGCCAAGTTTAGACCCGTGCTCCCCGGTAGTGGAGGAAGAGCCTTCATCAACTGTGGAATGCTATTCTTAACCCGTAGTTCTCGAGCTGGAGATATTGGTTCTGGAGACAAAATCGGGATTTCTTCCGAGGTGCGAGGGACGCTCTGTAGTTTGGAGTGAGTGCCACCTAGCCCTGTGGTGCTGATTCGCAGAGCGGCCAAATTGCGGCGGTGCCTTTTTTGAAACTCCTTTTCCTCCTTGCTCTTCCTAGAGATAGTCCCACTTTCCGTGGCATTTCCATTCTTCTCAACGGCATTACTCTGTTCAACTTCCTTCCCAGCCGGGTTGTTGGAATGTTGAATATTGTCCTCGATGTTCGGGAGAGCGGCTTTCCCTAGGCGATCTAACGACGTGAGAAGAGTGGCAAACTCGGAAGGTCCAGACCCGATAGGATCACTGAGATTCCGGAAGTTGGGCTCCGGAGTGTGTTCTTTCTCACTGAGCTTGCGTAACTCTGACATGGAGGGGAGTGTTTTGGAACGACGCCAGAGCCCGCGATCCCTGTTCTCGAATTGAGCTCCCAAATCTTGATTTGCATCCTCACCGAATATGATAGTCACTTTGGTTTCTGAATTCATCTTTGGAGCTTGGGGTTCGGGCCGGTCAAGCGCCTCCGGTTTATATATTTCTTGCCTTTGAAGTGGCATTTCCTCATTTGAGTCCTCTTTTCCGAGAATAGCTGGATGAGGGGGACTATTGTTTGCTTTTGCAATTCCAGGACGATCACGGGGAATCGAGCAGCTTTCCTCGAGAGAGTCAATGGAGCCCGTGGTCAAGGGCGTGGGATCTGGACCACTAGACCCCTCTTGGTTGTCTTATATGTCCTGTTAGTTACCTGGCACTTCTTCCTAAAAAGGAGAATGACGAACCTGGTAATGGCTGATCTATGACTCCCCTACAGCTTGAAGTAGTTGCCGTTTCCACCTCTCCCATATGACCCTCGAATTCATCTTTTAAGATCACCGAGGGTCGAAGCCCTTTGATTCTTTGAGGAATGGGGCATAATGGGGGAGCAGGTTCAACTGGGGGCATATTCTCTTCAAATTCCTCAGTGTAGTCATAATAGAAGGATCCATTGAAACGTGAGCTTTCAGTTTTCATAGTGCTGTCATACATTTGAACGATAGAGGTTAGACTGGCGGATCTGACAGTTTGCACGTTGGAGCCCCTTCTATTAGGGTCTACATTGGCTGGCACCGCAAGGTGAGAGCTGGGCGTCCAGGCCCGAACAGGGCTTAGCCACGTCGGGTGCGGCGCCGGGGAGGACCGTGACGGTAGCGACATTGTTGATCTGTTGGCATCTGATCGAAGGGATAATGGGATTGGGCGGCGCGGCCCAGCAGGATATGCTAGCCTGTAGGAGCCGTGGGTAGTTCTCTACGAAACCGTCAGCAATTATGTTAAAGCGAGTCGAGGAAACGTATTCCAATACCTGGGAAACTCGATCCAGCTCTACCATTCTGCTGTAGTCAATCGCTCCGTTTTTAGTCAGAGCGGGTGACGCAGGCCTAACATCGGCTCTCTTCAATCGCGTTGGGTAAGGAAACGGGGATCGCGGGCGCTGTAGAGCCACAGCACTGGATTGACTCTGGAGAGTTGCCGAGGACTTTTGCGATTGGGCCCGTCTTGAACTACAAGTTGTCAAAGAATATGACCGTTGGCTTTCATCCACTGAGGGGGAGAAAGATCTCGAGCGCGAAGGAAAGATATCGGAGCCATACAAGGAGAGAATTTCGGACGTTGTATCCCTATAGGAGGAAGGTAATCGTTTCCTATCATCTGAATAGTGCCCGGTATCCCCGCGATGAGGAGTTCGTGGAATGTTCTCATCCGCTGCAGTCGACAGCTGTGGGCAGGACGGCATGCCACTCCCACGGGAGGATTGTGGCGCGATTGTGAAAAGTCCAATATCTCCAGTCTCCGTAGTAGTCTTTAGCATGCTTTCAAGTGGCCCCGGTGAACGCAGCATATGTGCGTTTTCATTGACAGGACGCAGTGGCCGACGCTGCGAGCCTGGCCGAGGATTGGTTTGACTCCTTGCTCGATTCGGGCCTCTGAAATTACTCTGCAGAGAGCCGTGGCTGGCCGATCTCTGCCGAACGTGGTTGATTTCCATGGGATCTTTATGCCCAGAGCCATAGAATTAGTCGCCAGAAGTCGGTTTGGAGTAAATAAGATGTTTGAAGCGAGCGTTGATCCGAACCCTGAATAGTTGATAGAAATAAAAGGCAAATGGCCACTCTCAAGTCGTTGTATTGGGTTAATGACTCCGAGGTACCAAAGACCGCCAAAAATTGTCGCCGACTCTCATGTTTATTGGTTTGGAGTGGGAAAACGCGAAGCTGTGCAAGGGATGAAAGCAGGCGAAAGGGATTACCTGCTGATCACTCGACCATTCACAGATACCTGCTGCCTCTTGCCTACCTCAGATAAGGCAGGCAACGCCTTCCTGGAGACCGATCGCTTAATTCGGCTTTCGTTACCGCTTTGGCAAAACGCAAGTGTGGCAGGTGGTCCAAATGGCTTTGTCAAGGCAGTCGCGGCCTTGCACCAACCGAAGTCACCAGCTTGGTCAGGATTGAGGACCGTCTTTCCGCATCGCATCGTTTTTACTTCTCGACGGAAGATATACTCGATAATTGATCTAGCCAAGACTGCGTTTGCCAGTTGCTTGGGGCATTCTTGTCAGGCGCAAACATTCTGGATGAGTAACTTTCAACAGCTCGCCCGTCGAGGATCGCTCCGTCCGTCGGCTTGCCGAGAGTCTGTGATTGATTTCCTCACATAGTGGAGTCTAGAGCGGCCACACCCCGCTGAGCGCTTGTCTATGGGTTGATATATTATATATGTATAACTAGGTAGGGATATTCGATGGTGAAGCTATGTAGTCGGCCATGTCTAAAAGACACCACCACCAATGATGAACAAACGCTCCTCCTCTTTCTTTGTCCACTGGATGATCTTATTGGCGCCTTGGGTAATCAAAGTCCTGGAGAGGTTGGGTCCAGCCACGCAGTAGAACTCGAAAGCCGGGGTAATCCACGCCAGTGATGTAGCATCCTCAGCTACTGAATGCAACACCTTGAGTCGCGAGTTTTTGGCATGGACCGACGAATGTAGTTCATGGTACACGCTCATCAGCCTTCGTCGCGTCATTAATCCTGTAAAATATGGCTCCAATGTTCCCATGCAGAATTGTACGTTGGCGCGAGACTTGAATAAGAAGTGGCTGATTTGGCTTCCTGGTGCAATTTCCGGAACCTTGGGACGGCCAGCAGACACCGCGCTTTGTATTATGGCGAGGCTGCCGTTTTTGGTCAGCTGCTTGTTGACCTTGTCCCGCATCTGCTGCAGTTCAAAGAAACTTTCCCGGTCTGGGCTAATGAGGACCATGGCAATTTCTTCCTCAGATGATTTCGGCTTCGGCTCGGGCGTTGAGGCCTCTTGTTGCTCGTTGGCAGTTGAGTCTTCGAAGAAGCTCACATACATGTACAGGTAGCCTCGATTGTTGAATGCTGGGAGGCACAATGGTATCCAGTTCTCACCGCCGCCAGCTTTGATGCCATCGGACTCGAACAACATATTAAAAATGAGTTGCAAGTCACTTGGATGGAGAGAATGGCGGCGCGGTCGGATAACACTGACCAGCTTGCCTCCTGCCACGATAAGACCATAGAGTAATTTTTCTGTTCTGAGCTTCAGAAAAGTATTGTTAATAGTGCTTCTTTGCGATTTTCGGAGTTTGAGGCATTCGAGAGCACCAAGAAGCGACGAGGGCGAGCCTTTTGTGAAATTATCAGCGAGGGATGATAGAAGCGACTCGGTACCTTGTAGCGGCTTGCGTAAATCACTCGAAGGGCGATTTTTGAAAATGTGAGTAAGAGTTGGTAAGGTCAGCGTCGAGAGAATTTGCATGTATAGGGCTTCAAGCTGTGAACGAAGTTGCATATCACTCTCTGCTAGCTTGGTGATCGCAACGAGGTAGAGCGGCCCTTGGGTAGAGATAACAAACCGGGTGTTGCCCGCAGTAAACCCCTGAAGAGGGTTCTTAGCCCCTTCATAAAACGAGATGATTGTTTGCACGACGCCTATCGAGGAGTTGATGAGACTGAGATCACCATGGCGGCTCCAGATGGGTTTTCCAGCCGATGATAGAATCAAATAATGCTTAAGCTTGGATTTCCAAGCAGACAGACGTTCATCATCCTCTTCACCGTCCCCCTCTTCTGGAAGTGCGTCGAACTCTTGCTCAAACCTGGCTAAGCGATCACCAGAGCCCCTGGAAGACCTCTCAAAAGGCTGCACAGTGCTGGCCTGCGTCCTGAGGAGATGCCAGGCTGGACTCCTCTTGTGTAACTCCGAGGTGAGAAGGCTAGCGATATCGCCAGCAGGCCGCAGGGTGGGCGCGAAGCTGGTCACGCTGACTGCGTCATCTTCAGGGAGATATGATGTGCTAGGCCGACGGTTTGGGGTCGAGAAGCCGCTGCCAACGGGGCTCGCAACCGATCCTATCCCCGGACTCGAAAATGTACCCCGGGAACCGTCCGGGAACGATAATGTCTGAATCTCCAGGGGGGTCAAGGCTGTCGTGGCTTGTGCTTGTAGAGGCTTTGCATCTGTCGGCGAGGCGGGTGCAGGTGCGGGTCGAGGTGGTAGAGGAGGAGGACGCTGGTCCTCATCATGTGGTTCCGTCTCCCCTCCCATCTTCTTCCCCCAGTTGCATCTCAAGCTCGTCGGTTCGATCTGATCAGTCGCTGGGCGGCGCGACGGGACCCTTATCACCGGGGATCAGGCTAGACTCTCATCCAATACTATCATGCCATTTTTTCGAGTCGAATCGCAAGTGTCCGCCGCTGAGTGTTGGCGAAGACTTTCAAGATGGGCGTGGAATGGAGGTCCAGTGAGGGATGGAGGGACGTTGGTCACGAAACGAGCCTCCAGATTAACAGTGCCTCCTAGTGCTGGACTGACCTCACTTGGTGGGACACGGCCAATCGGAGAGCTCCAGGCTGCCACCAGAGAGGGGCTACGGCTCTGGACAACGCCTCAAGTTAGGTGCCTGACCTACCGACTTAGTGGGCAATGCAGCCACCCCCCCTGGAGCTGGCGGCCGAAGCCACCTACACATATGGACCTTCCATGCTCTGACGTACTGCTGCTTGCGCGTTGAGCAGAAACGTAGCCTTACTGTAAGCGCACATGGTAATTTGATGGCACAGCCATCATCAATGCGACCCAGCTTCCCGGAGCCGCCTCCCTAGATCATTGTAGCCGGCGACCGACGAATTATGTTCCCTGACCGCCCGGCTGGAACCCAAGCGAGCGAATATGGCACCTGATCCTGTGTCTGGTCGCAGGTCAGTGTCACCCGAGAGCTCTGGCAGAGACTCGCCGATCCCACGACAATGGAGAAGTCAGCTTGGTGGTGAGCTACCGACCCTCTGCCCAACAAGGAGCACCTGGTTTTGACTTTCATAGGCGCACCCGAAGACCATCTTTTGAAAGACAAGTCGTACCGAAGATATGCGGCCGGAGTCGACAGGGCACTGTCCCTCTTTGAAACCGCACTGGAGGAGTGGGCAGACTATATATCATTCCTCAACAAGCTGTTGAAAGTTAGTTCGCCCGAGGACCCAAGCCCAGATGGCCGTATCTTACTGATGGTGGGTGCTACCAGGCTCTTCAAGCTCGACCAAGCTCTGCGACCACGATTCCTGCGAAAGTCCTCGTTTCCAAACGATTGTCGCAATGTCTCAACCCGTCCTTACCCTCCGGCGTGCACCAAAAGACCTTGGAAGTATACAATTATGTCTTTTCTACGATTGGACACGACGGATTGACAAGAGACCTGCCACTCTATCTCCCCGGACTGGTGTCGACTCTTTCCTTCGCCTCTCTCTCTGTTCGTTCCCCTTATCTGGATCTCTTGGAGACGCACTTTCTGGAGGTCGACCCTCGATTTCTTAGGCCAGCCATGAAATCAATTATCCTCGCATTGTTACCTGGACTGGAGGATGAGACTTCGGAGGACTTTGAGCGAACGCTTCGATTGGTGTCCAGTTTCAAGGAAGCTATTCGACCTGCCGATTCCGAACCTCTCGATAACCACCACGCTACCGGCGACGACTACTTCTGGCAATGCTTTTTTCTGGCGTCCATCACAAGCAATGGCCGCCGCCCAGGTGCACTCGCGTACCTCGCGAGGTATTTGCCGTCTCTGGGAGGACTGCCGCCTGGTAGTGCCGCCTCAAGTCAGTCAGACGAGAAGATAATCAGTGTCGTCA